ATGGCGTCTCGGCCTTTAAAGGACGGCCAGAAAGCAAGAGGAAGCCACGACGGCGCCTTCCCTGCGCCAGCGCGAAGCTGAGGACGGCCACGCGCACGCCTGGAACCGAGAAGAAGGTCGCTGGCGGTGTAGCTTAGGCGGCGAGCACTGTTCACCATATTTATAGAATTGCCATTCACTAAATTTCACAAATTACTCCCAAATTTACGTAACAACTCAAAAATCTCCAAAAACAAAAGTTGTTCAAAATTCAAAGTTCTACAACTTTGCTTTTATAAGCATACCCAAATTCGGTCTACATTTTGAAATGCAAATTTGAATTCAAAAAGGGGACATTTAAAGAATTACGCCCTTTTAAATTACTTCAAATTTTTCTAAACAACTTTGAAAACTCCAAAAACCAACTTTGCACAACTCGACAAGCTCTACATTTTTGCTTTAAGGCTCAGCCCCAAAATGTACTTCGATTTTAAAATGGGTTTTCGGGGTAAAACAAATCACTGAAAATCAGGGTTTTCGGAAATCCAAATCAACACAACTTAGAACTCAATTCAAACCATACAAGGCAACACTCATAACATAAATATAAACTTGTTTTAGTGAATGCATATAAAAGTTTGTAATATGACTAAATGCCTTGCAATACATATGATGACATATCCTATTTTAGTATTCAAAACACCCGGGGTGTTACATCCACCACCTGATGAAAGATCGGGATCCCCGTCTCCATTAAGGGGGCAAAATAAAAAATATTATAATCGCCAAAACTAATGAAAAAAGTTAAAATATACTAAATAGGCAAATAAAATAATTATCTATTTTTCTAATGCAAGTTAGAAGTGCATGTATAATTTTGTTTCAAAATAAATCCAATAACTATGAGTAAGGACAGACCAAAAAAGCATAAAATATAGCTAATCACATCGATTTTAAATGAGTACTTAGAAGTAAAAAAACTAATCCATATTACTACTCCGATTCCTCTTCTAGCAGCCTAAATATCAAATCCTTGATGAGGACTCACAGCGAGATGAGGAATTGTGACGAGCGATTGTGCTCACTGCTGCTCTCCGGTAGAAAAGGCCATCATTATTGATATGCTTTTCTCTTGCTTCTAAATATAATAATATCTATCTCTACAAAAAAAAAAGATGGCAAGGAGACCCAACACAACCCCGACGACGGCATCATCAAAGGAATATCAACCCTACACTACTGAATCTAGCCAATACTAGTACAATGATGAACACTAGCGAGCTAGCCGAATGGGAGGTCGGTTCCTCAATTTACCGAATCCAAATCTACCCAATACTAGGAAGAAGATGAACACTGGCGAATGAGAGGTCAGTTCTGCTCTTGATCTGGTGCCGATGAGGCCACTGGAGCAGAGGGGACGGACGATGAGTCTGGCGCAAGAGAGTAATGGCCTGTTCGCTTGAATTTATCAGCAGTATTTTTCTCTCACAACAAAACAGCTTCAGCTGGCTTTAATACCAACTGAATGTAGCATAACTCGGTGGAGACAGTCTCCTTCCCACACGGAGAGAACAACAAAAAAAAAAGCTAGCTTAAACCAAAAACAGCATCCACCATGTACATGCGACTTCTGAGAAAAGCTAGCTTAAACCAAAAACAGCATCCACCATGCCCTTCAGAGTACAGACCACCCAATAGAACACACAATTTCTGACGCACGTCTAAGAATAATTACATGTGCACAATCTAAGGAAAAATATGGTGACCATTTTGGTTGCCTTGAACTTTATTTCAACTAGAAAAATTGGGGTGCTTCGCGGCGCCCTACCAGACATGATATCCTCTATAGAACTTAGCAATCTCAATTTATGTAGAAATAACATCATATATATGAAGCAAATTTATTCTCTACCTGATTCATTTACATTGCATGTTCTTTGGCAATGCCGTTGAGATGGTGAAAATCAAGCCAAAACTACCATGTAATGCATGCAGCCTATGATAATTATATATCTCTTTAGCCAAATTTATCAAATTGATAGATTTCAATCACAACAGATGAACATCATTTTGGCATTAGTCAATCTCGTGCATGCTGCCAAGAACTTTGAGCACCATGGCTTCAGATCCGGTGTAAGCCATGCCGGACAAAAAACATACACAACATCAGTGCAAAGGGGGGAAAACAATAAATAAATAAATAAATCTGGCAGCCTCCACGGAATTTAGCGCGTCCACCTTCCATGGTTCCCTCACCGTGGGGATGATAAAGGAAGGACAGAGAATGCCGAATAATGGTCCGCATCCGGCTTTACTTGGTGCCATCAGAATTGTTAGACAGGGCTGTGTTATGGGCCTTAGGCCTTCAGCCATATGGCCTGATCTCTGTATAGAGGTCGGCTAGGGTTGTGGAGTTGTAATTGGACTCCAAGTCCAGGACTCTAGTAGATTGAGTTGTATTAGGCAAGGATACTGGAGGACCGTTGTGTTTCCATAAGCCGCCCCTATCGTCACCTATATATGTACATGTACATTGTCCCTCAATAATCAATCTATAGTTTTCCCGACTTACAAGAATTTATAATAAGATGGACACTATTATGATAGCCTGATTATTATCGATGCTCTTCTTATAAGGTATATGCCATTACCTACTACTTTGACCTCGCCATTGTAAAATCATTAGTTGTCGCATCAACATTTTCCTTCCATTTTTGGACCTTGTTTCCAAGTTCCATCATCTTTTATAGCAGCCACCTCCCTTGCTCCTTAACACTACAATGAAAAGAATGTTTATCGGCAACAAAGACTGAACGCTAATTTATAGACCAAACGGGCTGGGACACTTGAAATAACAGTTACGTTCGATAATGGTAACTATTTTCCAAACCATAGAGAATGTTGGACCGAACATGGCCTAAAAAAGCATACATATTGCATATGACCCCCTTAAAAAAAATATTTGCCAAAATCAACCAGCCATGAAAAAATAATGAACCCGTTAAGTAAAGTTGAGTTTCTTTTTCCCAATAAATTGCATAAGTAACAATGCTGGAAGTACTCAAAATTGGTTCAAAATAGCTAATTTTGACAATTTAACCAGCCATTTTGCTAGGCTTTCAACGAATCCCAGAAAATTTCTGAGCCTTATTCTGAATTTAGAGAGTCAAACCAGCTACCTCAGCCTGGTACATATGTTCCAATTAGTTTGTTTACTTAGAATAGACCCTAGCCAAGACCAAAGTTGATTCAACTTTATTGAAAGAACTTTCCAACCATTAATATTGCAGTTTCTACTTTGATAATTCTATTCGATAATATCACAAATTGAAATGTTAATATGTTTATTAATACCAATTATTAATTTATCTTTCACATGAAAGGAGAACTCTAGCATATATATACGAAAAGCAGTTTAAGACCATAGGTGTATTGCATCAAATTAGTCAATTCAGAAATACTACTACACTGATGGAATGACAAGCAAAATGTTTGATATTCCTAAGTGCTTGATCCTCATCATTCTCAAGATCAACCAAGGAGACATCAAATACTCCGTGCTTCAGACCATTAGAAGAAATTTGAAAACAAAAGGAAGAAATTGAGATAAAATCTCTCCTTACATATGAGAAGCAGCCCTGATTGGCACGTGAAACATTAAATTCTGAAAAATTCCAAAAAATGAAGCTTTTAGCCCTCATCACCAAATTATGTTAATCCTACTAATAATGAATCAGAAAAGCATAACCATAAATAAGACATCAGGACAATCTTCATTTAAATGCCTAGCAGTTCAATCTTAATGCTTCAGTAACTTATATTTACACAAAAAATATAACCTATGAAGAATCCACATTAAGATCAAGTGTAAACAATTCTACAAAGCCAAGTTCATGTAGGACAACCGTAAAAAGGAACCACATCTAAATCACAGGTATTGCTACTGATCAAACACACATGCATGCTGAATTACCGATATTGCTAGAAACTCATGCCTGCGTGCCCAGTGAAAACTTTGGCCTTTCTTTTAGCAGCATGATTCTCAAATGATCAGGAGATGGGCAGGCATACCTTGGTGCCCTGTGTCCTGGACAGCAGAGTCTTGCCCATGTTGCACTCGCTGAACTCTGACAGGCCCTGAGGTCATGGCGTCATGCCAGTGTTTGTTGGCTAAAGAATCCACACTGCAAGGCAAGGCAAGCACAAAGAAACTGGATCAACACCGGCCAGAGGACGCCAAGAAACCAATGATTTCTACAGAACTGAAAAGAAAAGGCCAGGTGCTTGGCTGCCAGAGCCACTCACCGTAGATCCGCCATGCCTAGAGGACCCGTCATCCGTGGTGCATAAGATCCCCTCTGCCGTTACCAGCAGAGTGCCTGCGCCCACCACTTGTTCCGTCCGTCACTAGTGCCATGTGCCGCGGCAATGACTCCGGCCACATCCCGCTCTGGAAAAGCATATTAGGCAGAGGAGCAACGGCGGCGCCTGTGCCCGCGTGGAGGCAACAAATCGGGAGGTGTGCAAAGCTATTCCAAATTGCTGAAGCAAAGTTGTCAATTTCAACAGTTTCATACTGTAGTGTTTCTAATTAATGTACATTCAGAGCATAACTGGTACTTGAGTAGCTGCCACCCTACAACATGAAGCATCTCACCAATGGGATGATACAAACAAAAGCTAAAACTGATCACCTGAACTGACCGCTATGGTAAAATTTTCCATGAAAGTAAGGAGGAAAACCTCACCAAAATTTCATGAATGATGAAGCTCTGATTCTTGACCAACTTATCGAGGTGAAGCACCAACGCTCGACCATCTTACAGTGCCCATGTCATCTGCAAGCAAGAAAACTGCCCTACACATACACAATGTAGTTTACAACAGATGCAGATGTCGAATGGCGCAGCGATTGGCATGCCATAGCCCTAATCGATCTCAATCACCACTTTCTTGTTCTTGCTGCCATCAGGCCGCCCTCGCTTCTTTGCCCCAACCTTTACATGCGCCATTCCATAGCCCTAATTTATCTCAATCACCACTTTCTTGTTCTTGCTTCCTTTGGGCCGCCCTCGCTTCTTTGCCCCAACCTTCACATGTGAGGACTTCACTGGTGTTGCCGCTGTCGGCGCTGGCGATGGTGCTGGTGCTGGTGCTGGTGCTGGCGCTGTTGGGGTGACAGGACTGCCAGTGCCAGCATCAACTGCCTTATTGCCTTCCCCTTCCACAATGCCACTTGGGCCCGGCAATGGCAAGTATGGCCCCATTGGATAAAACCCTAGGGCAGCGGGTGCCTGCTGCTGCGGCGAATTGAGTGGTCCGGTGAATGCAGGGCCACCAGGGAATCCCATTGGGAAGAACCCCCAGGAGCAGTAGTACATGTCTGTGCCTGGCACGATGGGTGGTGGCATGGACATTGCTGTGGCAATGAACGGCCGGCGGCAGCTGGGGCAGAGCAGCGTTTGCGACTCGTAGGAGCGGTCATACTGGTGTAAGCGGCAGCAGGAGGGGCAAACCGTCCAGAACGCTGGCGCCTGTAGAGCTTCCCCCTCCTGGTTCCGTTCAGTCTCAGGCGGCATTTTGGCAGCCCGCGGCGGCCGCCCGCGGCGGCCGCCCGCGCTTTGGTGGCGGCGTGCCCGACACGGTTTGCGGTGGCTGCGGAGCAGGCGGCGTCGTCGCCGGCGTTTTGGCAGCCCGCGGCGGTCGCCCGCGCTTTGGTGGCGGCGTGCCCGACACAGTCTGCGGTGGCTGCGGAGCAGGCGGCGGTGGCGGTGGCTGTGACCGTGACTGCGGCTGATGCTGCTTCTCTGGACGGGGAGCGGTGGGCACACGAGCTGCTGCTGCTGCGGCGGCGGCGGCGGCTTTGGCGGCTGCAGCTGCGTTAGTTGCAGCGGTGGCAGCGTCGAGGTCGAAGTCGAGGGAGGCTTTGCGGATGGGATCCGATAGGAAGGCCCACGCGTCGGCGACGAGGCGGGCGGCGTCGGCGAAGGCGAGCGAGCAGGGACGGTCGGGGTGGGAGCGGTTGAGCAGGAAGGAGAGGCGGCGGTAGTGGGAATGGACGACGTCAGGCTCGCGGGAGGCCGGCATGGCGGAGTCGAGGCCAAGGACGGCGTAGGGATCGAGGGCCCCGGACGGGAGGCGCCGACGCTTGTCGGCGAGGAGGGCATCGGCGGCGGCGAGGAGGTCGTCAGCGCCTGGGGTGCGGGGGTCGAAGGAGAGGGCTTGGGCGACGAACTGCTTGCAGCCCTCCAGGTCGCGTGCCGTCAGGAGCTTCTCGGCGATGCTCATAAACCGCTCCGCCTCCCGCCGCTTGGTGGCGGAAGTAGGCGGATCCATGGGGCTCGCCGCTCGCTGCGGGGGACACAGGCGCACCGCACAGGGAGGCCAGGGGATTTGACTGGGCGATGGGAATGGATCGGGGGAACTTGTGAGGTTTACGGCTTGTGGGCGTGTACAGTAATTTTTGTTGCTACACTGGTGCTTTATGGCCATGCTTCGATCTTGGTGTCTGAGTGAGGATCAATTGTTACGTGCACCCACAGAGGATACTTTTGGTAGCAGACAACCCACAACATCAACAAACAGATGACACCTACTGCTGCGGCGCCGAGGTTGTAGCCTTGCCAAAAGTGCGGTGATGAAATCTGCCGCCACAACTGCAGCAAGTTTTGGCGGCAAAAATAAACTAGATGACCATGGTGAGATTGCGGCAGCGAAGCAAACGCGTGCCCAAACCACGACGCGGTGTGGCAACCAACCAAACACGCCCTAACACAAACCCATAGACCATAGCATTGACAATTAGGCACATCACACTTAGTAAACCAATCTTACAAAGAAGATTCTATAAGTCAAAGCTAAAACTTACGGGTCCTATCATGTTGCAGAGTAAAAATCTATAGAGCATTGAGCAGCCACCAACCATATTTGATATTTGTCGCTAAGTTTTATTTAGCCAAAGATAAATATGGCTCTTGCCGTTTGCCAAAATGGATAAAGGTATAAAATAAAAATCCCATTGATAGTACTGCGGATGTGTTTTCTAGCCACAAAGTGCTAAAGGCACCACATAACGCTTATTGGTTCAATACGATCAGGCATTGCATCATGAAATATTTGGCCTCAATCCACTAAGGTAGCATGGTCCCAAAAATAAGTAATATATATGGTCATTCGATGGTATTGCACTAGCTAATAAATATGCAATGTTAACCATTAATCTAAGCATTTATTATTGCTAATAGTATACATTAGTTTTTGTACATAGGAAAAAATAGTATATACAACCTCACATGAGCCTCTCTACCAAACAAGAGTAGGATGCAATCTTTTTATATTAATTTTTGTGAATTTTATATTAAATATTTTGTGATTTGGGTGTGGATAAGCATAAAGGTGGCCATACACCTAACTAGGCTCAAGTTTTCTTCAACTCTATTTTAGGTGCTTAACTTTTTTTCTTATAGAAAAAAGTCTGGTACCTATAAGTTGGTCTTATTTTTATTTCAAAATCATCAGAATTTTATAAGAAAAATCGAGAGACCCCACGTGTCAATGATAAAGGATCAGCAACACAAAGCTAAGAGGCCGAGCAAAGTGCCCATTCGCCATTCTATCATTAGCTCGGCCCACTGACAAAAGCCCAAGTAGCAGTAGTGTTGGGCAGTTAAGCAAATCCCGGTCCGGTCCAGAGAGAGGACGCGGGCCAAACCACCACCAGTCCACCAGATCTCCTCCCGGCGGCCGTGGCAACGACGGCGAGGAAGCCGGCATGAGCGTGTTCGGCGGCGACAGCTGGGCGCGTGATGCGCAGCAGCGGAAGCGGCGCCTCGACGACCTCTTGCTACCCACCACGGCGTCCTCGTCTCCCTCGACGCCTGATTCCTTCAGGAAGCTCCCCAACAGCAAGCTCGCCTGCCTCGTCTGCCCCCACCGCCCCGTCCTCGACACCCCCCTCATGCTCTCCGTAAGCCAGCACCACATCCCCCGAGTCCTCCTTTGCCGGACTCCCCTGGTTAATTGCTGATGAATCTCCTATGATTGCGTGAATTGTTGCCACTGCGTTAGTGAGGATTATCTCGTGTAACATCTTCTATTTTCTTCCCTCGCTGGAATAGGCATTTTGGTCCTCGACATTTCTTAGAAGCTCACTTTCGTCCTTCGACTAGCACAAACCGATCATCCGAGTCCCCCGAACTTTCTTCTCTGGGTCAAATAGTGCTACTCTGTTGTGGAGTGAGTGAGTGACACGTTCGCATGCTAGTAGTACCTTTTTATGATGTTAGTAAAAAAAATAAAAAAGACGTACCCAGTGCAGAGAGCTCCCGCTCTGTGCGGGTCTAGGGAATGGTGTTAGTGGCGAGCCTTACCCTTGCCTGTGCAATGCGAGGAGACCGCGACTCGAACCCGGGACCTTCCGGTCACAGGTCACAAGCGGTAAGACTCTACCGCTTGCACCAGGCCCGCCCTTCTTAGTAAAAAAATAAAGAAGCCAACGATTACATCATTACTTGTTTTTCTATTGTGCAATACAGGAAAACAAATCATCATGTCTGTATTCAGTAGAGCATGAGTCAGAGCAGCTGAGCAGGGACTGTGACCCCAAAGTTCTAGAATGCTGGCTCCTACTCTCCTTGAGTGAAGATATCTAGTTGGCCAAAAGAAATATAGAAATGACAATTTGGAATCAGTTATTTCGACACAAGTGATTGTATCGCTGATCAGGCATGCCAACATGGTGTGCCACATCAGACAAGGGACTAGTTTGACCCGAAGGAGAAGAGTTTAGGGGCTCAAGTGCTCGATCTGATAGTTGAGGGATGAAAGTCAGCCTTGGGGGAAGTTGAGGGACAAAATCATACCTTTTCTCTCTTACCATGTGTTTATCTGGCTTGGAATATCACGATGTGGGTATCATGTCGCCTTGCACTCCTATCATTTGTTTCTCTGGCTGGGATTATCACGACTTGGTAAACTGTCAGCCGTGGTATGTATCTCTCAATCTGACAAGTGATATTTAGACTGATAGGAAACATCTGTGGGACACATCACTGGTCAAAGTGAAAAACAGGACTGCAGCTTGTCCAAAACATCATACATTTCTTAATGGAGGGAGTGTGCCAAAGGGCCTCTAGTCCAACTGGTTAGAGCGTCCTGGCGGCACTCCTCAGGTCCTGGGTTCGACTCCCCGTGGGAGTGAATTTCAGGCTGGAGTTAAAAAAATCCCCTCGTCTGTCCCACGCCAAAGCAAAGGTCTAAGGACCGGCCCGTTCTCACAGGGCGACGATGCCGCTGTGTAAGGGTGGGGCAGGGGTTCGGGGGTTTTCTGGACCTGCGTGAGAAGGTTCTTCTTCTTAATGGAATGCCCGGGGGTGGCTTTCCCCCCGCAGGTCCAGTTTTTTTTTTTAATGGAGGGAGTGTGCCATACAATATCAGTGGTTCATCTATCGATGTCATTGGAGTCATTTTATAACTTTTTTTTACAGGCCTACGGGGGGAGGGGGAGGGGGGTATCCCCCACCTGATTGATTTCATTGATGTTGGCTCTCAAATAGCCATATAAGTTTACAAATATACCATTTAGTTTCTATGATTGAATTACATTGCGTCAGCTAGTATGGAACACCAGACAGTTGCAATGTGCCTCTCATCTCTTGGCAGTCTTGCACCCCACAAATAGGCTTCAGTTTTGCACGCAGCCAGTGCAGAGCTTAGCACTGTTCTGTCTGTCCTAAACACTGTGTTGTTCCTCCGCTTCCATATATGCCAACAGCATAGTAGTAGGAATGTGGTGAAGTACTTTGCTGGTATGTGGTTTGGCGGTTCAATGTCTTTGGTTGCTTGGATAGGCCAATCGGCTTCAGTATCAATTTGGACAGCTCCCCAGAACTGTTTCGCATATGAGCATCCAAAGATGATATGGGCAGGTGTCTCCTCGGCAGCTTGGCAGGACAAACTGTGTTCTCCACCACTCCTTTCGTCCTCAATACTGTTTTGCATTGTATCCTTCCTTGTGATAGCAGCCATGCAAAAAACTTCACACGTGGTGGAGCTTTGTTGTTCCAGACGAATTTTGTCCAAGCATCCGGACTGGAGTGTGCAGTTTTCAGGGCCTTGTATAGCAGTGAACTGTCAAGGTCTCCATTCTTCTTGATCATCATGCTCAATCTGCGATCTCTGCCTTCTGCAAGTGTATGCTGCTCCATAATTCCCAAGACTTGCGCCAGTTGTGTTGTAGCCACTGCCGATTGACGCGTAGTGAGTGATCTTTGGAGCTCACCTTCATATGCTTGTTTCACTGTCAGTTCTTGATCGCGACAGTGACTGAGCAGCTCTGGGAATCTTTCCGCAAGAGAATCCTGTGCATCCCAGACATCGTGCCAGAAGGATGTCATATTTCCATCTGCTATATGGACTGTCGTGATGGCACGATACAAAGGCAGCAATGATCTCAATGTGTCCCAGTGATGGCCGTTGAGGTTGCCTCTCAGTGATGCAATACTTGCGTTCTGGCGAACCCATCTTGCCCATGAGGAGTCATTATCAGAGTGCAGCCTGTGAATCATCTTCAACATCAAGCATGTGTTTTGGATGCCAATGTCCTTGAGTCCCAAGCCCCCCCTGTCCTTGACGTCACAGACATGTTCCCAGGCCACCAAGTTCTTGGCACCAGTTGTGGAGCCCGAGCCTGACCATAGAAAAGATTGGCGCCGTCGATCTACTTGGTTCAGCACCCCTGGCGGTATCGGCAGGGCAGCCATGGCATAAACCAGTTGACTGTCAAGAACAGCATTTACGAGTGTTGCACGACCCATTTGATTCAGTAGGCTTGACTGCCAACCTGCAAGGTACCTATCACATTTTGCAATTTGTGGAGCAAATGCATTTAGTCTGAGCTTAGTGTTCGGCAGCGGTAGACCAAGATATGTTTGAAGAAATCCCTCTCTGCGGCATCCTAACGCTGATACGCAGTCCAGTACTGCCTCCTGAGTCATATGTATAGGGACTGCAGTGCTCTTGTTGTAGTTGATCTGCAGCCCGGTTGCACTGGCAAACTGATCAAGTAGCAATCTCAGTGTTTGGACGTCTGCCAGTTCTCCTCTGACCAGCAGAAGTGTATCATCTGCGTATTGCAGCACTGGGTAGCCTGTATCCACCATTGGGTGACGTATGAGCTGCAATTTTCTGATAAGCACTTGAAGTACATCTGCCACTAGTATGAACAGGTATGGTGATATTGGATCTCCTTGACGCAGCCCACGTCGGCCGCCGATCCACGGCCCTGGGCATCCGTTAACTACTATCGCTGAACAGGAAGACTGAAGAATTTGCTGCATCCATCTTCTCCAGGTTGTGCTGAACCCCCTAGCCTGCATAATCGTGTCCAGGGCATCCCAATTGCCCGTGTCAAAGGCCTTTGCAAAATCCAATTTGATCACCAGCGTTGGGGCTCTGCGCTTGTGAACACACTGTACTAATTCCATCGCATAAATAAAATTCTCGGTGATTGATCTTCCTCTAATGAAGCCTGTCTGATCGAGGTCGACAAGGTTTCTGATTTGGGTCTGCAGCCTTGTCGTCAGAATTTTGGACAGTATCTTTACGCAGCAATTGGCGTCAACGGTGTTCACATCCGGCTTCTTTGGGATCAAGACCATGTGAGATCTGTTTACCCTTTCCAGTTGAACATTTTCTTCATAAAAGGCTGTCAGAAATTGAATTACATCCTCCTTCACCGTTTGACAAGCTGCTGAGTAGAAACTAGGACCGAAACCATCTGGTCCAGGCGCACTACACCGATTCATACTTCTGACCGCAGCTGCAGCCTCTTGTTCCGTGAATGGAAGCGTGAGTTCATCACCCGCTTTGGGTAGGTCCTGGTATAGAGTATCACAGCTAAAATGCCAAACAGTGTTCCCTGGTATTCCCATGATGCTTCTGAAGTGATCAGTTAGTGCTTGGACCTTGGCTGGGTGATTGGTCACCTGAATACCATTTACAGTAATGCTTTTGATGTTGTTTCTGCGCATTCTTGTGGTTGCATGAGCATGTAAGAAGGCAGTATTACTGTCCCCCTCACGCACTGCTCTAAATTTGCCACGTTGCTTCCAGTACGCGCACGCTGCTTCAGTTCCAGGGCGAGTCTCTCGTAGCTTTGGCACCGAATCTGCAGCTCATCAGGAGATAGGCGGCGATCTTCTTCCAAGGTGTCAAACAACATAATAATGAATTTACAGTTTTGAATGATAGCCGGTGGCGCCCTGTTACGCCTGGACCATACCTTTGCCGCAGCTCAAACTGACTTTAGCCAACGCACGAGTTTGCCAGCTGCATCAGTGCACGTTTGGCCCTGGTGCCAAGCCGGGAGTACAGACTGAAGGAAATCAGGATGCAGTAACCAAGCATTCTCAAAGCGAAAGTGGTTAGATTTGGGAATATCAGTGGATAGAGTGGCGAGAATAGGGACGTGATCTGAGGTTGGCCTGGTGAGCCCCTGTAGGCTTGACGATGGGAAGAGTTGGCCAAAGGGAATGTTGTGGAAAATTCCATCAAGGCGATCAAGAGTTGGGGTGTCACGTTTGTTGGACCAGGTGAACCGGCATCCAGCAAGGGGGAGCTCCAGGAGGCTCATGTCATTGAAAGCAGTGATAAGCGAGGCGTTGGACACCGGTGTGTTTTTGTCTGCCGAGGAGCGAATGAGGTTGAAGTCCCCGGGGAGCCAAGGACCAGTAAAAGTGGGGGCGAGCTCAGAAAGCTGAGATAGGAAAGCAGCTGATTCTCTATGGTCTGAAGGGGCATAGACGTTCGTTACCGAGAACGAGTGTTCAGACAAGTTTGAGGAGAAGGTTGTGGAAAGGCAGTAGTTATTGGAAACTGAGCTTGTTACCAGTGACAGTGAGTTGCAGTCCCAAGCAGTGAGTGTGCCACCACGGGCTCCTGAGGCACTAGAGAGAACGAAAGAGGAGGACATGTTGGGGGGAAGGAAAGTTGCTGCTTTGAAGATAGAGCAATCACTTAACTTTGTTTCTTGAAGGCAAATAATCGTTGGGGTTGTTTGCCTAAGCGCATCACGTACGATTGTGCACTTATCCTGGTCGCCAAGCCCACGCACGTTCCAAGACAGCAACCAAAAATTTTTGGACGCAGAATTCATTACAAACTAGGGGACGCTGAGACTCCGCGCCAACAAGCCTGCGCAGTGGAGCCCGAAACAGCCAGAACAAGGATCTGAAGGTAGTCACCCATGGGTGGCAAACCTTCAGACCAGGACTCAAGGAGAAAATAGAGAGCACAGGGAAAACTAAGGCGACTACGAATGAACGTACACAACAACCTGCCTAACAAAGTCCAGAACGCATTAAATCTCACACTAAATCTCAGACACTGCGCGCCTGGACCAACAAACTGAGGGAGGACCTGCATTACATAGGCGATGGGCGACACTGCGTCCACGGCGGCCGCAGTCGAGCCCAGTCCAGCAGAGCAAGCCAGTTTGCGGAGGTCAGGAATCCCAATTGGGAGCTTGTTTCTAGACAGGAGACCCCGGCGCTTGACGTGCAGCACAGCCGGAGAGCACGAGGACAGGCGTTCTCAAGGGCCTTCTTCTTGACGGCCTTGTCAGTCATGTCCACATACTTGCCCATGTCTTTGGCTGCGAGGCGAGAACTGTGCCTCCTGACGTGAACCGTGGGCTTGGTACGCACACCCGAACTGTTGCGACGACGAGGGACCACCATGGGCGCCGGAGGGGCCTGTGCAGGGGCTGTGACTGGTGCAGGTTGGTTTTGTGGCATGGTTAGCTGGCTTGCGGTGATTGGTGGGAGGCTTGGGTTTGCCGAAACGAAGCTGTCCGGCAAAACCGGCGCGGAAGGAGCTGCAGTCGCAGAAGCAAGTCTAGTGAAGAGCTGAGCGAGTAAAGTGGCTAACGCCAGCAGTTGGGCATTGGCATTGCACTGGGAGGTTGAGCTGCTGTGGCTACTTGGGGTTGGAGCTGGGCTTGGCGGGGATGCTAGTGGCTTTTTCTTTCATATTTCTAGTTATGTATATGTCTCTTCTGTAGGAAGTATGTTTGCTATCAGAAACCTCATGCCGGTTCTTGCTTATGTTTATGTACTCCTTTTGTGATTTATCTTGCTAGATATTGGTGTGGCTCGTTCTTCTACTATTATTGCTTTCCTAATAACAACATATATATCAACAGATGCATAATAAAGGTGCACGGCACGTCGCTGCAGAATCTAGGCTGAGGGAGAAAGAATTATCTAAGAAGCACGAAATTAACAAGAGACTGGCTCTCTCTTCAGATGCTTCCCATTCAAATTCTGGCAATCCGCGCACCGGTGTTAAGCCTACCAGTATCAAAGAAAAACCATTAATTGAGGAGACCCGGAGGGCAATTCTGGAAGCACAGTCAAGCAGATTCAATGATTTCAAAGGCAAGAAGGTATCTCATGATTCGAAATGGACAACAACTACTTCATCCTTTGACTCCAGTGTTGCTCCTTCTGATGTTCCCATGGAACTATCCACTGGAAATACTGGATTGCGAGAATGGAACTGTAAAGGAGAATCTTTTGCTGGAAATCAGACTCAAGACAAGTTGTTTTCTGATAGGCAAACAGAAGTCCGAAAACGCCAGGAGCAAGAACTTCGGTTCACTGCTTCAGGCTGGAAACGGGATGGCCATGGAAGATGGTACCGAGATGAAAATGTGAGTTATATAAATTTTGATCTTGACAACATTGATGAGATGTGCTTTGCTATGCTGAAATTAGAAGTACCTACAGTTCCTAGTCTTAACATAAGTATAGTACATATTGCATTTTTCACGTTGACATAGGTGACATCAGTAGGTTTAGCATGTGAATTTGTGATACGATGCCCCACAAAATAGGAAGAGGTTACTTGAATATGCCAATGTGGTTGTGCATTATCTTATCCAAATTTATACCAGTTTTTCTTTACAAAATATGAAGTGTTGTCCATTGAACATGCTATGCTGGATGGCAGGTTGAATTTGACTCAGATGAAGATGATCCTAACGTCTGTCTCTCCTGATAGTTTGAGAAGGCATTCTGAATTGAAGTATCCAATGGCCCAACTGGGAATATTGAATTCATCACAATGCAATATGAAGTGTAATACCTCCCTACAAAAATGGTCGAATCAGGTTTTGTCAGCCTGTCAGGTTTTCTGATAAATGGAAATGTTAGATTATGTTCCTGTTGAACTTGAATATTTGTTTCATTGTGAGCCAAACCTGTATATGATAGTTGAGAAATAAAGTGTGTAGTTATGTTGTTCAAAAAAAATACTTAGTGATCAGAGAATTTTGAATTTTCAAAGATGTAGTCTAGACCTGCCATTAGCCACTGTAAAGATAGGTGATGCATTTTTGGTTTTGGATCTTGTTTTCAGACTAATATTTTATTTGTAAGGAAAAGAATGACAACAGAGCCAAAAGAATACTGGGCTATTCCTACTTACAGAACTGATAGATTTTTAAAACAGGACAAAATGATAAATGTCAAGCTACTTCATCTACCACCACGCATGAACTGCGTGTGACATAATGAAAACATAATTAAATGTTTGCAATAGGTTTCTTTTCCTTACACTCAATAGCCAGCTCTATAACCTCATCCGTTTTCTTGTCAACATACCCTGGTTCAGAGAAGTCAATGGACAACACGCGTGCACGTCTTCTTCGGTTTTGGTCATCATCACAAATAAAAATCTGGACAGCTTCCTAAAATTTAGGATACTACATAGCTGTGCTATTGTTCCTTGTTTTCTTATTGCTAGCTTTCGAAGATAATGATAACAAAAGGGTGGGATAGCAGTAGACAGTCGTGCGGGTCTCATCTAATGTAGATTAGCTGGAAGGTATAACTCTTACATTGTTCTGAGCCACGTGTTACTCCGGCTTACTATGGTTTTTAAGCTCGTAGTTTTTCTCCTTTTTAAGAACCATCATATGTTTTTCCCTGACGGTAAAAATGACTGATACCGAAAAATGCTATGATCTCATTCTCTGTTTTTTCCTCTATAAAAGGACGCGTCCCTATATACAGTACGTATCCTTACTCTTGGAAGTGGCAACTGCAAACTTTCGTGTAGCGAATATAGAACATGATTGCATTTGTTGACACTAATAGAGATATTGCAGACTCCTTCCTAGAAGCATAAGTTGTTGCTACCCATTTAGAAAGTGTTGCATGTATCAAAATTCCAGCTTTCCTACCTCCCATATAATCTTTGTGAAAAATTCATTGGTTATTCTAAACTCTAAAGCAAGAAATTCTTAAATAATTTTCAATACAGAGATATTCAACATTTGTAATGTTAATTGCTAGATCAGTATAGACCTCTTTGATCTTTGTTATGGTGTGCAATACCTTGGCAACCACATATGATCCTCAAGAAACAGTTTATTAGGTCCTGTTTGGATTCAAAGTTTTCTAAATACGAAAGTACTATGGTTTTCAAAAGTTATGGGGGTGTTTGAAGCAACAAACCTTCTAGTTTATAAGACCATGATATTGCTAAAATTGCAGTCTTTTGGGGTTATAAAAACTCCACTTTGGGCTACTTTTTGCTAATTAAACCACGGTTTTATAAGCCTTTGACTTATAAACCACAGGTTTTTAATACCCTAATCTTCTAGAACTATGATTTACAAACATGCCCTTAATATTATATTTTTAGTTTGCGTTTTAACCTTTATTTGTTTTCGATAGTCTATTCTCTAACTTTGGTTCTTTGGAACTCGAGGAGTTACATTTCCATATATTTTGTAAAGTTCTAGTTTCATTATTGGTTGATGCTAGGGGCCTAAACGGTATGAGTATTTTTCGACCAACCTTCCAACCAAAGATAATCCGGCTGCAATTTTCAGACATCTAAGGTATTTCCCGGACACCAAATATAAATACAAATGTCTCTTTGGTATTATCAAATATAAATACAAGATTACCAATATGCGATGGACATCGAATATCCAGCAATCTAATCAGATATATTCAACTAATGTCTGAAAGGATAATTGATAAATATTAAAATAATTTATTTTTCTAGGTTATGTTATTGAGTATGAGTACCGAGGAAAGAAAAAAACCTGCCTTAGTTCTCAGCAATCAGGTGTTACTCCGAATACATCCATATTTGATCTGAATACACCCCCTACTTGATGCCATGGGCACCTTCCACTGACCACTGTTGGCAAATATCCAAACGTATGACTGAAAAAGTATTAATAGTTACTGCTTGTACTACAAATCATATACAGCTCACAGAGAAGCCATAAACTGACATGTTGTACAGTATGTAGAAGGGGCTAATTATTAGTAAATAAATTAGTCTAGATGATACAAACATGAGGGCTAACATGTGGGATAAAAATTGGCCAAGCCACAGCTAGTGGTTAGTCCATTATTAGTTAGGTACAACTAGTTAACAGAAACTAAATAGTCCATTGCTAGATATGCATCCACCTATTAGCTTGAGATGTTAATAATTGCTAGATAAAAATTGGCCAAGCCACACCTTGCTAGCTTCTAATTTTTAGTTGGATTAACAATTAGCCTTATCCAGTACAAATAGGCTATATATACCTTGTTCATTTTTCGGTTCTCTCCAAGTCTCCATTGTAATTGGGCAACTTTCTCTATCGTATCTTTCCAAGAACTGTGTCTTACTACTAGCTGAAGCTCCACGCAATTAGTAGTGATTTCACAACAATTGATGTGCTGCCTCTATCCATCCTGAAATGTAAGGTTTTCTATGAATTTTAGGACATATTATATAGTAAAGCAAATTACGCATATAACCACTCCTCTAATCGTAGAGAGATCTTGTTCCTACAATATTTTGAGTCTGGTGGGACACTTTGATGACGATACATAGTGATTCATGCTTGGGAGAGTTAGTTCGCCTAGAGTACATTATAATTTAAAGATAAATTTTAAATGTTTTAACACATATTTTACGAAGGAATATAATAGATATAATAATGGTTGCATATTGGATTGATTTACTCCCACATGTGCCTTGAATTGGAGAACGGAGGTGGATGCCTAGATGACAACTTGTAGTAGAAGGGCTGAAGGGATGATGACTAAAATTGGGAGGGTTTAGTGCAAACGTGAATGACTTGTGCGATTTTTTTTTCGAGAACGTGCGTAACACGTGTTTCATTAATAAGAAGTTAGAAGGTTTACACGCCCAACATCACATCACGGCGAGGTGCCATTAGCGATGGGGTTGAACACAGACACAAGGCAGCGCTAGGCGGTGGAACACACGCTGTTGTAACTAACTAAGAAACTAAATGTGCGACCGAAGAGCTTGCGACGTTGAGGGAGCCCATCAAGACGCCTGCGTCGCCACCCGCCTCTTGCGAGCACCAACCATGGGGAAGAGTGTAACACCCCGGTGTTATGCCTACATTTAGGCACTGCAAATCATGCATATCATGCATCATCAAGCATCCTAATCATACATGCATAATCTTGCATATAATAACTGAAACATTACTTCGAAACATACGAAACATGTTTGTGAAACGTAAATGATGCATACACTTATTAGAGTTGTTTTGCTCTGATTCTTGCTTGCTAGGTTAGTAGAACATGTTTGGCTGCTATTGTAAATCATCTAGCAATGTTTAGTTCAATTTTTGGAGCAATGTTTGTATTCAAATTAATTCAAAATTTGGCTTCAAAAATAAATTCCAAAAATTAGGGTTTTGAGCTAAACGTGAACTTTGATCTTCCAATTCAAAATCTAGAAAGAATTTGGCTGTGGTCCTAAAAGCAAAGTTGTAGAGAATTAAATTCTAAACAACTTTCATTTTTTGGTACATTTTCAAAAGAGGTCATTTTCTTGCTCAAAATAATATTTGAAAGATAGCATTTAAAAATCCCTTGAAAATACAAATGAAAAAGGATTTTTTCTGTTTTTCATGGGCCATAGCCGCCACATTGACCCATAAGCCGGCCTACAAAGCCCAAAAGCCTCGCCTCAAGGCCTAAAAGCCCAGCCATGCCCGCGCCAGCCCGCCATTGGGCGCGCGCCATCCCTATTTTCATCGCCGCATAAAATTGATCAGCCAAGAGAATCACCACAGCTATGACCCAGTCCACGGCGTCGCCCGCCCAGCGTACCTGTGACGACAACATGCCCGCGCGCCTTCACCACTGATGCCACTTTCGCTCACTCCCGCTGCGCTTCCTCTCCTTCCCTCTAGAGCCGAGAGCTCGAGCTCCAGTCCCAGAGCTCCGCCGGCGTCGAGCTCCCGCACCACCGCGCCATTCTCCGATTGCTCGCGCCAACGCCGCCTTCGCCTTCCTTCAAGTCACGCGCTCGTGTTTGCGCCTGCCGAGCCTGTGGTGAGCTTTCGCGCCGCCGCCGACGGCCATGGCGCGCCGTGCTCGGCCGCCGTGGGACTCTTCTTCTCCCTTCTAGCTCGTTTTCGCCATGGCCTCGCACACACCTATTAGCTATCGCTTCGCTTGCTTGTTTTTGCCATGTATGGCCGGAGACGGCCATTGGCCGCGAAAGCCGAGTACATTGTCGCGCCAATTGCTGCAGCTCCCAAGAAGGCACACTCTGCCTCTGCCATGGGCCGAGGCCTGCCAGCGCAGCCAGCGCTCCTCCTCGGCTTGGACCCGCGGGCGGCCAATTGACCGTAGCTGATTTCAATGGCTGGCCCAATGATGTTTAAATGAATTGTTTTCAATTTATTCATTATTATTTGAAAACGAAATGGTTTGCAAAATATTTGGATACTCAAAGTTGCTCCAAATTTGTTGAAACAAATTTTCTAGGTTCCTTATCACCAGATCTACTTGGGAAAAATTGTGCATGTCATTTTTGAGATACTTTTCTATAGGATTTTATTTAATCTTGAATATTGCTGATAACTTGAAAATATGTAGAAAAATATATAGGCTTCAGAAAAATATGATTCCAAGTTTGTTAATCTTCTCATGTCATGTACTTCCTAGGAAAAATATGTTTCATGCATGTGCTGTGGGAAAATTTTGAGTAGTTCAAGTACCTTAGATGGCTGATTTTTGTTATTTTTTGCTAGAGAGCAAAATTTGTATAAAACATGCATGTGGTAAATTTTGTATAGTGATTATTTACTGTTTAGAATCTAGGAAAAATACTAATTCTGTTGTTTGACACTTTTCATAGTACAAAGTAATTTCATGCTCATTTTTATGCTATAGCTTGTCATTTTTTGTGTAGGATAGTTTACTTATCCAAATGCCATGAAAATTTTATGGTAGTCTGTTTAGGGTAGTATTATGCTACTGTAATTTTCTCAGATTTTTAGGAGCATCAGAAATATAGGTTGCTATTCAAACCTATTATTAATTAAGGTTTAAGCAAGTGTTGCCTTAAGTGTGATTAAGAAATTAGTAAAGCTTTGGTGTATCTTTGAAGCATTTAATAAAATATGTTGACTTAACATATTGGTAGTAGAAGAGAATGCAGTAGATGACATGTGCTTGTAGCATAGTTTCTTGGATGATGTTGTCTACCTTGCCTTTCAACATATTCATTGCATTCATCTCCTTGATGCACCGATTGCATAGGCACTTACACGCATTGCATCATACTGGGATCGCAAACCGAGAGCCCAGTCGTCATTCCCGAGGAGCCCGAGGGAGCGATTCGAGTGTGGCAGAGGAAGTGCCAGAAGTCGACGAGGAGGACGTTGAAGAACTTCCGGAGTGCCCCGATCACCGTCCGAGCTCCTTCGAGAGAGGCAAGCCCCGGAGCATCTTTCTCCCGGTTTGCAAAGATTTCGTTAAATGCTTTACTTTAAATTGATGCATTACGTTCAGGAGTTGTTTGCAAATGTTTTGCATTATACCTTGTTTACCTTTGTTATACTATATCCTTGTTACCTCGGTATCCGCAATCGAGTCAATGCTTAGTGGCTTAGACCGGTAGAAGTCGGGTGATTTCTGTCACTGCGAGCTATAGGTGGTTACGGATCTGTTTGGATGGCTATGAAGTCATGGTATAACTAAGTGTTAAATGAAGTTGAGACCGGGCGGAGACTTGCGGGGGTTTTGACTGTAGTGTTTCCGTGCATGTGATGGATTAAGGACCGACCGTTGTTGGGCCTCGAGTCATGTTGAACGCATGCCTTACATTTAGCTGGCCGGATAAAGTACCTTTCACCGCCATGAAGCCGGGAGATTTTTCGGGCCGAGTAGATTGCCATGCCTTGCGATGCGAAGCAGTGTGGTAGGACACGGGCGGGATGATAAGACCAAAAGTGCAATCGGTCGGCCCCCGGTACATGTGGTTCTGGCAAACTCGAGATACCGGAAAGTTGACTCGGTGATCAATATCTCACTTTAGCGGGTGAGTGAGATTTGTGTAAGGAATAAATCACCACTGGTTAGGAATCGATCGAATCGCCATCGCTCTGGATAGTGAGCACTTGACTTGAGTTACTTCATCGTAGTAAATGTTTATGGAACACTTGGACAGTTATAGTGAATATGACAAGTATGGAAGTTGTTTAATGATCGGTGGTTATCATTAATTGCTTAATCACATGTTTACTCTAGTATAGGTGCAAATCTAGTCTCTGAGTTAATAATAATTAACTTGACAATAATGCTTTTAGAAAGGTTCTTGAAATGCTAAAAATGCTTCTTTTGCAAATGAGTGAACTACCCTACTATAATGCCCGCATAATCCTTGGTGTCATTTATTTTCGGTTATGTCGGGGGAAAGTCCGGCCGAGTACATTCTCGTACTCGTGGTTTTATTCCCACTTGTTGCGAGATGGGCGGATGTACTATGGCTATTGTATCAACTGCACTGTATCCTGCGATGGGTGATGCTTAGGACCATGGGCATGGTCATTTCCTTACGTCTCGTCTAATGCTTTTGTTGGAGATGATCATCAGCTGGCACTATATTTGAACTACGTGTGAGTGTGTGTGGTTTTAAACAAATGACTTCCGCTACTTTTATTCGAACTTGTTTTGTAATAACTATGTTTAAACTCGATGTATACATTATGGAAACTTTTATGTAATATGTGATTGGTGACCGCTAAACTTATTACGATCATGGCTGGGACACGAGTTGGTTTGAAATCCTTCGTGATTTCACGGACTACCGGGTTATACGGACTTAAGTTTGCTCAATCGTCTGCTCTGGTGGATGATTTTCTTACTTAACTTCGTATAATTGGTCGGTTCTGTTACAAAGAGTTCCCGCATTGCCACGCGTTTGGATAAAGACAGCGGCTCATGGAACGTCTCATGAAAAACTTGTGCGATTTATAAATTTCCTAGGTACTGTACACAACTACACATGTTTTGTTTCATTTAGACTATCTCCAACAACATCATAAAAAATACAAGACTCATTCCATGTTTGGGTAGCGCTACAGGTAAAGGGTTCAATACCTATTTTTGGTCTTCTTCAACAACATGACCCAAAAGAGAACCCTTTCTGCAAATGAGTCTTCAGGAGAGAGAATACTAATATTTGGATTGTGCCTCTGTTGTAACTCAAAATGGGTCTCGCATATAGGTATTTTGTTGGAGGCTGATACAGTACCATTCATGACCCATTTTGGGTTTGGATCTTCATATGGGTCATCCATTGGAGACAACATTATTATAGAGATTAGAGAGCAAAGATCAAGGTATCTTGCAAAAGAGATACATGCTCTTGGACAAACAAGGATAAGAAGCTACGAGCCTACGACGCAATTATTAAGAGACAGTGCACAGTTGTCATGGTTGAGTCAAAATTATTGTGGCTGGTGTACCTCAAACTTGGTAAGTTTTTTTTTATCGAAAACCCTCCTTATAGGGCGTTCGTCCGTCTGGACAATCCCCGCACTCGCCATCGCCGCCCCCGCCCGCTTGCTCTGCTCGCGGGACGGACCCTGTCCGCCCCCGTGCCGCCCCCGCTCGCGCCCCGCCGTCCGCCTGTGCCGCACACGGCGAGCCTGAAGCACGAGGCACTCGCTAGCTCGCTCCCAGACTCGCGCCTCCCGTCGTGGCCGTGCTCCATCCGCCTGCCCCTGCCCCTACCTAGGTCTGTGCCGCCAACGAGCTCCACATCGATAACCTCCGCGCCACTCCGCGGTTTCGGGCTATGTACCGGCGTCGAGCTCCGCGTCGACGAGCCTCCATTCGTCCAAGCAGCAAGTAGATGCTACGCTGAAAGTGCATGTTGCAATAGGATGTTTCTAGTGTTTCGGATGTTTCTAGTGTTTCAGATGTTTCTGAGGTATGTTGCAAGTGTTGTATATCGATGTTGCAAAAGTAGATCGAGATGTTGCAGATGTTGTAATGGTACTACATGTATATTTCAAGTGTATGTTCTAAATGTTTCGTCTGTTCCAGACGAATGTTGTAAGTATTTTGTCTGGATGTTGCAAAAGTAGATCTAGATGTTGCATATATATGCATGTTGCAAGCATATGTTTCAAGTGTTTTCAGGTGTTTCATACGTATGTTTACAAGTGTTTCATCTGGATGTTGTACATGTTTGTAATGATTTCAAATGTTTTCAGGCGTTTTCACAAGTGTCTCATACGCTTGTTTTAAGTGTTTTCATCTGTCTTCTTTTGTATGTTGCAACTGTTGTATCTGGATGTTTCAAAGGTGTTATACATAGGATGCGTGTGGGAAGCGTGGGGGGCGGCGTGGGACCACTACTTTTGCGCTTCCTCACGAGTCCGACGCGCTAGGTGCTCCTGTGCGGGCAGCGTCCGGGCGCTAGCGCCCAGAACGCTAGCAAGTCTGTTTTTTATTTGAGGGATGTGGTAGAATTGGTTCACCTTTTAACCATAGCATTTGACTGTACAAAATGGCAAGGTGTTTGTTAGCGCTGAGATGTCGCCTGCTTTTTTTTTAGCTCTATATATACTATATTGAGCACGTTAGTCTTGAATACAGTTTCAGGTACAGTATTTTGCCGCGTTGAAGATGCCTGGCAGTCTGGCACTGATTTCTTCTCCGTCCTAACTACAAGCGGTTGAAAGGAACAGATAGATGGCTTATCTCGAGGAGTAATTTAATCAGATTAGTTGGCTTTTGGCATTACTTTGACCCTGTACAACTCTGCAGCGGAGGCAACATTGTTGCTTCTTCTTATCAAAAAATAAATAAAAATTGTTGCTTCTTGGAGTTAATCCAGGTCTGCATGTCTTTATATAAGACGACCTTACCTTAATGGTCTGCTTCTTAGTACTACCTTCAAGACATTGTGTTTCCTTCTCATAACTCACACAAGTGCATATATAGCTTGCTTTGTGCCTTTGTGCCATCGAAACCGTAAAATGGCAAGCGCAAGTTCTGCAGAAGGCGCACACGAGACTAACCCCGAAAAGGTCAAGCTCGTCACGGTTCTGAGCATCGATGGTGGCGGCGTCAGAGGAATCATCCCCGCCACCATCCTTGCCTTCCTCGAAGAGAAGCTCCAAGTAAGTGATAAGTTCCTGCTAGCTCTCATCATCTAGCAATTTCATAGCGTTCACTTGTACATATCCTGTGGAACATTGCCACGGTATGTACGTATGCATCGCAGTTTCTTGTTGCTCCATGCAGCAGGTAGGCCTGATGATCAGGTTATGATGTCGTCCGTGTGCAGGAACTGGATGGGCCGGATGCTAGGATCGCCAACTACTTCGACGTTGTCGCCGGCACGAGCACCGGCGGTCTCCTGACGGCGATGCTCACAGCCCCTGGCCAGAACGGACGGCCGCTCTTCGACGCCAAGGATTTGGCGCAGTTCTACATCGACCACTCGCCCAAAATCTTCCCACAGAAGTAATGACCATATACATGCTGCATGGCAATGTCAAAATTTTCACAGGGCTCATTTAATTTACAGTTCAGAAGAGATGCTGGCTGGCGAGTGAGTTCGTTGATGGTTTGCCGTGAGTTTTGCAGGAACTGGATCCTGTCGAAGATCGCCGGCACGCTGAGGATGGTGAGGGGACCGAAGTACGACGGCAAGTACCTCCATGCCCTGCTTCGTCAGTACCTCGGCGACATGAGGTTGGACAGGGCGCTAACAAATGTGGTCATCCCGACGTTCGACATCGCGTTCCTGCAACCCACGATTTTCTCAAGCTTTGAGGTAAGCAAACGGGTCCTCTACTCCTATTAAGCACCAGCTACAGCTAGTCAAGAAGTGAACAGCTACTACATTGTCACTCTACTGTAAACAGAAATAGTGTGCATTTGGTAGGGGATTCCCAGTCTGTTTCCAGAGAGGAAAATCACCCCTACCAAACGTAATTCATCGTTTTTCTTTAGAAATGGAAGGATCACTACCAAACCAAGTTATACAGGAGAATCATAGCAGGTGGTCGCACATATATCTTTTTCTGACTAAAACTCTTTCAATGAGACAACAGACAAGTCTGTGTAGTCGAAGCAGTCAGTATGATAAATATTGTACTTAGCATGCCCCACCCCCGGTTGTCCATTCATGCGAAATTGCTGCATAGTACTATGCATCACTGTCTGCTATTGTCGACTGTCGTGTCTCTCCGGTCTTTGTAGCTTAAACTTGGGGCAAACCAAAGACAGGTTTTGATTTGATGGTATATTAACCAACTGTACCGAGTATTTTCAGTATATATATCTTATAATAGGACACTTCGTATGATCCAGCCACGTGCCACGATCAGAAACTTTGTTTCTTATATGATCAGAACACCATCATTAAGACATTAAACTACTGCTAATAATGATGCTTATCATCTAGTCACACTGTCAATGAAGAATCTTTTTGGTGATTTTTTAATCAACTCGTTGCATGCGTGCTGCCTGCCCTGGTGGTTGGTTTCGATCAGCTGAAGCACCGGCCGTCGAAAAATGCACTCCTGGCGGACATCACGATCAGCACCTCCGCCGCGCCGACCTTCTTCCCGGCGCACTACTTCGAGACGAAAGACGAGGACGGCAAGACCAGGGCCTTCAACCTCGTCGACGGAGGCCTCGCCGCTAACAATCCCGTAAGCACCCACCGGTACCTTGTGGTTGTGGCAGTTCATGCCAACGTCTTCACTGATCGTGTCGTTTGCAGACACTGTGTGCGATGAGCCAGGTGTCTCAGGACATCATCCTCGGCGACGACGACTTCTTCCCGGTGAAGCCGGCGGACTTCGGCAAGTTCATGGTGATCTCCGTCGGCTGCGGGTCGAACCGGAACCAAAGGTACAGCGCCAAGGCAGCCGCCAAGTGGGGCATCTTCAACTGGCTCATCAAGGACGGCACGGCTCCCATCATCGACATGTTCAACTCTGCCAGCGCTGACATGGTCGACATCCACCTCTGCGTCCTCTTCAGGGCCCTGCGCTCCAGCGAGAACTACCTGCGCATCCAGTATGATCAGCTGACGGGCAGCGCGGGCTCCATCGACGACTGCTCCAAGGAGAACATGGATAAGCTGGTGCAGATCGGGAAGGACCTTCTCAGCCAGAACGTCTCCCGGGTGGACCTAGAGACCGGCAAGAACGTGGAAGTTCCCGGTGCAGGGACCAACGCCGAGCAGCTCGCCAAGTTCGCCAAGCAGCTCTCTGACGAGCGACGCCGGCGCCAGAAGCTTTCAAAGTAGCACATGTACATCATACTGAAAAAAAATAAGGGTACGTTTGGACGTAGATATTGAAGATGTTGGTATTGAATTGATAGCAATACCAAATCAGCCTTGTATTGGAAACGACTCACCATACCAAATCTATTGTTTAGATGTGCATAGAATTGACCCATCTCCTCCTCCTCTCCACCGCACCACCCCGACACTCCTGTAGGAGCACCTGCTGGACCTGGGGAAGGAGAGCGAGGCATCGGGGGCGGCGACCTTGACCGGCGGGCACCTGCTGGATCTGGGGAAGAAGGAGAGGGAGGCGTCGGGGGCGGCGACCTTGACCGGCGGGCACTTAGGAGACCTTAGGAGACGACGCCGCGAGGTACACCAGCGCTGAAGCCAAAGCCAACGACCTCCCCGTCAGTCGCGTCCATGGCGGCAGCGAGGATGAGCTTCGCGTGCGTCGGAGTTCTCCGGGCTCGGCAAGCCAGCGCGGGGCCGCGCCCCGGCAAGCCGACGGCACCGGGATGGGTGTCGAGCCATGGCAGGGAAGGCGGCGCCGGGCCATGGCCAGAGCTCCCGTGCTCGGCGACGTCTTGCTCGGCGGCATCCGCTCAGCAAGGTCGGGGCGCGCGCGTGAAGGGATGCAGGGGGCGACGAGGAGCAAGGGCCGCGCGGTGCAGACGGCGGGGAGGTCGCGTCCGTGCAACGTCGCGGCGGGGATTGGCGTCCGTGCGAGGTCCGCGGCGGTGGCCACACGAGCGGTGCGCCGCGCGAGCGAGCGGAGGGAGAAGGGAGAAGAAGAGGGTCGCGGCTCCGATTCCCCCCAATACGGAGGGTCGCGGCTCCGTATTGCGGGTGAGGGGGCGCGGTCGTAGCGAATACCGCTTGGCATTGAAGTTTATTTTCAATTCCAAAGTCTAGGCCATCCAAACAGCGATTTGGTGCTATTCAATGCCAATTTCAATTCCGGGCCCCAATGTCTACATCCAAAGGTAGCCTGACAGATTTTGTAACACATCAACTGCCGATCATAGGGCCGTGGTTTCAACATTCTCGAGCTGCTTGCGTTTTCATGCTCTGGCATGTGTATTCCATTCATTTCCTGGCTTTTGTTGTCATGTAGCATTATCCAGTTTTGCATTGATAAAATTATCAATAAGCTAATTGGTTTTACTTGTGAAAGTTGTTTTGTCAGGTCTTAAATGCATGCACAGCTGCACTTATTTTTTTTTTCAAATTTTTGTGTTCGTTCAGTCCAATACTAAACCGTAGAAAATATGTGTGTTTGGTAGGAATTCAGATTCTCCTATAAACGTTTCACATCCAGAATTTCTCTAATAAACGTTCTCTGTTGAGTGAGTCACTTCGTAAAACCGTTTGGCTACTTTGAGCACATTCGTAGGTTAATTGGGCACCTATACGGCACATATTATGTGCTTAAAAATAATAGTTTATGTTAATTAAATTATGTTCTATCTAAAGTTGTAAAAATAAAAAGATTTTACCACATGGTGAGCCAAAATTACAATGTACATGGTGAGCCAAAAAAGGCAGCTATGAATCTGCATTAGAATGTACATGGTGAGCCAAAATTAAATGAAGAAGAGGAGTAAGGAACTTAATAATTTGTGAGAGGCTTTAACCAATATATAAGAGACTTGGACAATAATTTTATCGAGAAATAAAGATAAAATTAAAGGCTACTTTCATTTGGCATCAGCAGAAACTATACATTCATGACTAGTAATGGAGAAAAAGGAACATATATAGGAGAGAGACAGCCAATATTCTTAAACCAACTAATTCATCGGCAATAACTATAAAAAATTGGAAAAAAATCCATATTACTCCATCCAAGTTTGGCCTATGTCCAAATAACCCCCAAAACTAGCATTTGGTTCAATTTACTCCCTCCAACTATTTAAGTTGGTCCAACTAACACCTTAAAGAGTTTTTCCTTTTTTTGTTTCTCTATGTACAAATTATATTTTAGTTTTAAATTTTGTGAGGTGACAGAGGACATTGTATTTTGTATTAGAAAAATGCACTATGAATTTTTCATCATTATGTTTTATACAATATTGTACCTCCATTGTTAATTTATTATTAAATTTCCTAAGCTATTAAAATAGTGTCAAAAAAATAAGATATATTTTTCTAACATAACTTATGATGTTCTCTGTCATATCACAAAAGTTGATATTAAGACTCAACTAATACGTGGAAAAACAAAAATAACAAACCAAGTTAAGGGGTAAACTAGACCAACTGAAATAGTTGGAGGGAGTAAATTGAACCAAATGTAAGTTTAAGGTGTAATATGGACATATGCCAAGCTTAAGGGGAGTAATTTGAATTTTTTCCTAAAAAAATTGTACCTATAGATACGATGGGGTACATGATGAAAGAACCGATACAATTTAAAAAAGAAACAAAGTTATTTGAAAAATATTTTTAAATAAGAAAAATCTAAATGATACTATAATGAGAAAAAATAACCTAGCTATACGCGGGGCCATCTCGCTAGATCCAACTATATAGACCTTTTTTATTTTTAATACTTTTTTTAAACTATTTTTAAATCTGACATTGTTTGTATTTTTTTTCTCCAAAACTAATATTTTTGAACGTGTCTATTTGCATGGCGCGATGAAATCACATTGTCCCACGTTAGTCAAAATGACAATGGAGTATCTTCGTGCTACAAACATGAAAACTGTCCTACGGTGTCCCACGGACAAGGGAAATGCGGATGATTGATGAACAACCTGTTCGTTTGGCTGTGGCTTGTCGTAAACGATCGTAAATTTTCAACCGGAACTGTATTTTTCTTTCATACAGATCAGTCAGCAGTACTTCTTCATAAACAACAACAAAAACGAACCAGCCAACCGATCATGTGCAAAATGGCGCCCAACCCAATGCTTCTTCCTTTGCCGCGAGGGTCTATACATTTCTCGACGAAACGCCATCGCTTACTGGTCTAGTACGTTGATGGCGCACTTGCTGTAGTTCATGTCATCCAGTCGCCCAAAGTCGTTTCTGACGCAACTTTCTACTGTGAGTGAGGGACTGAACTTCCACGCTGTACTAAACTTCCAGTACGGACCCCCAGTAGGACGTTGCCACTTTCTACGATGCTCGATGGAGCACGCAAAGCAACATCTGGTCGTCACTGTTGCCGGGCCTGATCCGGCACACCACCGACTGAGCGCGCCCGCGGATGGGAACGGGAGACCAGGCCACAGTGGCAGGGAACCAGGCACAGGCAGCCGTGGCGCACGCATCCGTCCACGTACCACTATAGCATCTAGCCATACGTCTAGGTGTTCGTCCAACGCAGACGTGCCTTGCCGCGCCACGGCGGATGGCGCGTCAGCCTTGCCACGCCATGGCAGCTGGCGTGTCAGTGCCGCGCCCATATTTACGGCGCGGCAGCCCTGGTCATGTCAGCGTTTAGTGGTTCTGGTCGCTGCCACGTCGTCGCTTCTACCGCGCCCCCATACATAGCGCGATAGTGTGATTTCGCCGCGCCATGT